GTGATTCTGTGTTTCTAACAGCCTTGATTTATTTACAGGGTTGTTTGCTATATCGAGACATGAACAGTCACAACATGGCAGCCATAAAGATCAACCCAGAGACTCTGGAGCAGGAGGGCACCATCACAGTGCCTGGTACAAACACCTTTCTTACTTGATAGTGCTTGCTAAAGGCAGGGCAAAACATTGTTTTCATTCAAATAATGAATTAATGAATTTGAATAGCTACTGGACTTCATTTTATGTTATGTAAATAGCAATAGATAAGTTAATGTAAAGAAAAGTAAAGTAATAATAATAATCTGCATGTGTAGAACATTATCTTTGTTGCATTTAAAGTGTGCCTATGATGAAAATCATCTTTTTAAAGCTGTTTGGACACAACTTTTTGTAGGTATAGTGTGTCCACAGTCATATTGGGGTCATATAAGCACAATAAGTTTCTTTTTTTTTTAATTTCCTGACGTTAATATAGGATCCAAATCCTTCTCGTTTTGTGCCAACTGCAATGTGACGTAGGAGTGTGATTTCCCCGCTCACCAATTTGATTGACAGTCACATATTAACAGGTCTCCGTAGTAATGCGTATAATCATATCAACAGGATAGGACTTGCGCAAAACAACCGGGACTAAAAGATCTGTTAGGCTCTCTGTGATCATCAGTCATCTTCAAATGTGATCAAGAACGAGTTCTACAAGTTTAAAACATTTTAAAACACTGCATGTTTGTAATGAATTACAGTGATTTTACCGTCTTTATAACCACAGCCAAATGTCAATAAAATTATAAAAGAAAACGCTTCAATCCCTGTTTGTGGATGTTAAATCAGGGGAACTTTGTAATGATATTGTGTGTGACTCAGTGACTACGTTTAGATGGACATCAGTAATCGAATTATTTGCCTTATTCTACTTAAGACAATAATAAGATTAAGGTGTTTACATGAGTTGCTTTTTGAATGTTTCTTTCTTGATCCCGTTTTACTTGTTATAGCGCATACTTAGATTAACGTCATTGCGTCACCGTGCTATCCGCATTTCCTCCAGAGTTTCATATAATTTCGGTTGTTTCATTATTAATTTGTCAACTTTGACTGCAGTTTGGCACTTTCACTTTCATTCACTTTCAACTAAACTGCTGGAAGATTGTTGTTTTACGGTATAAAGTTCATACCACATGCTGAATGGAAGAACATTTTACGATGCAGGTGTCTGTGGTCTGCACTGACTCGGTAGGTACAAAGAGTGTCAAACAGCTGCGTGGGTGTGTGTATGTGTACGTGTGTGTGTGTGTGTGTGTGTGTGTGTGTGTGTGTGTGTGTGGAATTTCCTGTCGCAAAATGCAGCGAAAAGTCCTACATGACGGTAATAATTCGATTAAGGCGTTTACATGTCTGCAATGTCAAAACATGTCAATAATGCGACTTAAATTGACATGCTTTTCTTAATTCGATTTCTCTTAAGTTCGATTATGACCTTAATCTCATTAAATTAATCAAAAGTCACTGTTTAGATGGTAGACTCTTATTCAGAGTATTGTCAAATTTTTGCTGTCCATGTAAACGTAGTCATTGTTGCAGAAAGGCTTGAAATACTCCACAACAAATACATCAAATAATCATTGGGAAAGTTCTTACTGTAGTATTTCTCACAAACATTACGCGAGATCTGCTTTCGTCATGTTTGTCACTGTGCTGTTTATCTGACGCAACAAAGGCAGAGATTGAGGCACACTCTGACAGGCATATGGGAATGGTGCGTGCTATGAACTAGCATTAAAGGCATAGGCAACAAAAACAGCTACATTGTGTTTAAAGCAGAAAATTCCAATATTCCTTAAGCTATAATAAATAATCTGATGGGTGTTTTGAGCTGAAACTTTACAAACACATTCTGGAGACACAAAAGACTCATGTTAAATCTTTAAAAAAAAAAGGTAAAATAGGTGCTCTTTAAAGCTTCCGTAAAATTTAAATAATGTTTTTTAGATGTTTGTATCAGTATGTTTGTTTTAAGGATATCTATAAGCTTGTCTGCTTCAAAACAGTGACAAAATCTGCATGTAGAAGATACAAACATTTAAAACGTGCACTTTTTCCCCTAAATGGCTCAGTCATTTTTTTGACATCACTTCATCTTTCAGTTTCTTATCAAAGACCAATCAAATGCTCTAATATCACACAAGTCCCGCCCCCTTCAAAATATTTTTTGATTGCTTTCCGTTTGATGTGCTTGATCTCAACCACTCTCACTGGCAGAGCTGTGATAAAAATATTATACTATTGGCTGTTTTTTTTTTTTTTTCAGAATAGGAGGGGCTACTACATATCCTGCCCTGTCTTTATGTTTCAGTTGAGATTAGGTCAGACTTTAAATAATAACTGCTCATTTCAAAGCATTTTAAATATGGCTCTCTCTTTCCCAGGTCTGCAAGCAGATGGACAGAACATCATATTTACTGACGGAGAATATATCAACCAGATTGCAGCCTGCAAAGATGTAAGTATTCTTAATTGTTAGCTGTGGTTTCACTCAAAGATTTTGTTAGTATTCCAAATTGTAGGCAGCATTATATGTGCCTTTTAGGGTGAAGGCAATTCCACAATGCATTGTATCTAGTAAACAACTAGGTCCTCGATGGCAGACAATGATGTATTTATTTTGTAGGATGTATTTGTACTTTACATCATACTTTTGTCAGTAATAATTATACCCCTCGGTAAAAGAATTAATAATACTCAATATTGATGATAATCTTAATCATCAAGTCATCTTATTAGACCGGAGTGGTTAAACAGATCATGACCCACACTTTTTAGCCTTTGAGCTACAAATTGAATAATGTTTTGATGAGAAAAAAAAATAGATAAATAAAAATATGTTTCTAATTTATTAAAGACAACTTGGTTTAAACCAAAATATCCTACTTGTATGAAAATAAATATTGCACAATGCATAAGATATTTAAATAAAATATTGCATTATTAATAATTACTATAATTATTAACAAATGTTTTATAATAATGTTTGCTCTTCAGTGTTTGGACTCTCAGCAGTGATTATTAAACCACACTGAACTGAGCTAAACTGAACTGAACTTAAACACTGGAAACTTGACTGACACGGTTTCAATTTACTATGATCTTCTATATGAAGCTGCTTTGACACAAACTACATTGTAAAAGAGCTATACAAATAAAGGTGAATTGAACTGAATAGAAACTGAAATACCATTAAAATAAATGATATGTCACCAGAACAAATAACATTAATAATCTAACATTTAAATTCAATGTCAGATTTTTCTTTCCCTCAAGTTCCTCGTTCACATATACATGCTAAGGCTGGGTGGTAGATCGTGTTCTGGGGATATATCAATATGATTCCCCAATGCAATGCGGGATCATATCCAGTATCTTTCATATCGATATGGTTTGAGGCCACACATGCGCATCCTGCACAAAACAGACCCCTCCAAGGTATCACATGAGCTCCACTTACACAAATGAGCGCATGCACAAATGAATGATTCACTCCCTGAGTCGTACAAAAAGATTTGTTCAAAATTAACGAATCGTTTAAGAGCGATCCATCACTACATGCGACATGGAGGAACTTGCAGTGCCGGTGTTGTATCCAAATCTGACTCCCCTTCGCGTGCACGCGCGCCACACTACGTCTGCAGCTGTCACAGCAGTTTATCAGAAACCTTTTATTGATCATTTCTTCCTCAATTGACAGCAAGAACGAAAATAGAAACCTTGTCAAATTGACAAGCAGCACCTGAATGTGTTCAAAAGAATTAACAACACCAAAATGGGTTGATTTTATACCACATTTTGAAAGTGAAACCACCTCATATTCACTGATTATAAGTTCAGTATTTATTACACGATGGTCTCTCTTTATGTTTATGTTATGAGACATTTAGCTCTGCGTTCTGCTCTGTTATTGTGTATTGACTTCAATTCCGATTATATTCTAATCATTGTATTTATTTATTTATTTAGTCTGTTTAATTGATTTATTTATTTTAGCCCCTTATCTGGAGGACGTAATTTGATTTGTGTGTGCCTAGTGTACAAATGCTTAGTAGTTTAAGCAATTAATAAAACTTTAAAAAAAAAAAAAAAGTAGAATAAAAAAACATGCATTTGTCTACCAAAAATTTCTTTTTCTATTTTATTATCTCGCTGTTAACTACTTTTTCAACAAGTAACAATATAAGAATGTAAATTATAATGATGATAATAACAGGTAGGGAAAACCCCTGTGTTTCAGTTATATTTTGCTCAAAAAGTGTTTAATAAAGTTTTAATAAAGGCTTTAACTCTCATGTAACCATTATGGGTTATATATTGTATACCGTCATTCCTCCTAATAGTACCGAGATATGATCTTTTGCCCATATCGCCCAGCCGTAATACATGCTATGTTTACATAAATACAGATATTATTACAATTTTGTGTGTTTTTGATCGTTCAAACAAAATATGCCACTAAAGAGAACTGAAATTGGGTTGCGTGCCATCTGAGAGAGACGTTAATCAGGTGTCTGCTAGTCTGTCAGATCTATTTGTGAAAATTACACTCGACTTGTTGACCCTTTTTAACACCATCCACAACACTTATTTTATTCATGCTCTAAACATATTACATTTTGGTATGCGTGATTCTGGTTTTGTACAATAGTTCTCTTGCGATACATTGTGTAGTGCAAAGCAGAAAAAGCGAAGTGAGGATCCAAATGCTATATTTAACTAGGGCTGATACACAATATTATATCGCATCGTGATAAAATTTATGTCAATAACAATAAGCGCTGGACCTTTTTTTTTTTTTTACTCTATATTGATCTAAAAGCCAATCGTACCGCAGAAATGTGCAACTATAGGAATCTAAAAGTGTGTTGATATTAGAGATGCACCAATTTTTTGACCATCGAAAATATGTTATGCCATTTATTGGACGCTCTAATTTTTGTGGCTTCAGCCATTGATGGGGTACTATTTTAAATCTAGAAGTAGGGCTGCACGATATTGGAAAAATCTAGCATTGCGATATTTTTTTATTTAGCGAATTTTCGCTATGAATACAATTTAACCAAATTAAAAATCTCTATTTGGAAAGAATTTATAATATTAGATGAATTTGGATGATTCTGCAGTGGGAGTGGATATCCATAAAATATTATAAATAATCTATAAACTTTTTAGAGTCCCCTGACACTTTCAATGTGGTCTGTGCTATTTGCAGTGCATTTCTGTATTTGCATGAGATTTCAGTAATTTAACGCATAACAATCTATACATACAATCAAGAAAAAAAGACACCAACAGTATAGGATACATTTGTGTGTGTGTGTGTGTGTGTGTGTATATATTCTTATTTTTAGAATTATTTACACAGTATTTAAACACAGTGAGTACACATACATTATATAAATGCAAACTCTTATTTTGAATTTGATTTAATGCGATTAATTGTTTGACAGTACTAATATCCACACAAAGCCAGCACATAACAATTTGTTGTTTTGTTACTGAATAAACTAAGGATTAATGGTTGTGATTTAATGGTTGTGTGAGTCCTACATAAAGCCAGGTCATTTTAGTCTGTTTAATTTATATGGGCTACATCAATATATTGTGCATCATTGAGAAAAAAAAAAATCTCAATTATAGATAGTATTTTTTGTCAGTATTGAACGCCAACCTACATTTTACATCAATATTTCAATATTTGTTTATTCATATTTGATTTTTTTAATGTTTTGCCAAGCTGCTAGTTGACTGACAGATGCAGTCAACAAACATGTTCATACCGTTGTGTAGGACTATAATGCAAGTAGATGGACATTAACACAAGAAACCCCATGAACTGCTCAATCCAAAATAAACAGCCTGTTTTCAAATGCTGCGGTTCTCATTACATATTAACAGATTCGCTTGTTTCTCCCCCTGCAAGTCATAAAAAAACATGATCAGTGCCTTTTTCTCAAGTGGTGTGATTGTGGCTGTCAGCAGCACCTGATCTCCTTTGTTTCAGCCGATTTCAGCCCTGCTGTGTGTGTGTGTGTGTGTGTGTGTGTGTGTGTGTGTGTGTGTGTGCGCCTTTGTGAGTGTGTGTATATGCAGGGGAGGGGCTGCAGCACTGGACGTGGGCAGTATTGAACCCACTGGCTGAGATGTGATATGCATATCTGCCTTTGAAGATCTCCTTTTGCATTCATTCATACATGAGGGATGGGGAGTGAGGGTGTAAAAATGGTTAAGGCCCCTAAAAACAAGGATAGTCACCATGAAGATAACTTTATTAGTGGCCACACTGAAGATGTCTGCTATTTATTGTGTATGGCAGAGTATTGTAATTGTAATTATGACAAAGTTCAAGCTGAATATACAGTTGTCAGAATTATTAGCCCCCTTTATTTATTTATTTATTTATTTATTTATTTTTTATATTTTTTTAAACTATTTCCCAAATTATCTTTTACAGAGTAAGGAAATTTTCACAGTGTGTCTGATAATATTTTTTCTTCTGTAGAAAGTCTTATTTGTTTTATTTTGGCTAGAATAAAAGCAGTTTTTATTTTTTTCAACACCATTTTAAGGTGAGTATTATTAGCCCCTTTAAGCTATATTTTTTCGATAGTCTACAGAACAAACCATTGTTATACAATAACTTGCCTTATTATCCTAACCTGCCTATTTAACCTAATTAACCTAGTTAAGCCTTTAAATGTCACTTTAAGCTGTATAGAAGTGTCTTGAAAAATATCTGGTAATATATTATTTACTGTCATCAAGGCAAAGATAAAAATAAATCAGTTATTACAAATGAGTTATTAAAACCATTATGTTTAGAAATGTGTTGAAAAAATATTCTCTCCGCTAAAGAGAAATTGGGGAAAAATAAACGGGGGGGCTTATAATTAAGAGAGGCCAATAATTATGACTTTAACTACATATTAGAAGGTGTGTTGACTTTAATCTTCTGCCGTGCCGTGACGCTTTTTGATTGACGTCGACTAGTCGTGCTGCACAGATCACGCGGTTTTCCTGAACTACATAGCAGCTTTACACACGAAGGTGGTTCACTGAATGAAACTGCCACCGGATTATTGAAAGTCATTTTTAAAATGTTATTTTTGTGATGTCAGTGTCACATTAATTTTAAATTGTTAATCAGATGCCAATTAAGTCGCTGCATGCAGATGATAGCCAATCATGTTTACGCAACCACTGAAAAGTAAGGGGATTGGCTGTTGAGCGTAGACCATAGATACTTACATTAGGTGTTGCTTACACTATTTTTGTCTATTGGAAGGAATGCGTCAATGGACCTGCCGTTTTAGTACAGGGTAGCGCTCTTTTTGAAATGAATGTGGGACCAAAGTATAGTGAAGGACAGGCCATCCAGAGCCAGAGATATAAACACATATATACATTTATCCATGATCAGGAGTTTTAACATTGGTCAGTATGCAAATATTTTTT